TAATAGATCATATATCTTTCACAGGACAAGAATAGTTTCTGGTTTCAGATGCCATTGTGGATATAGCTATAGAAAAATCCGCCCCCTTGGCTTATCCATCTGTAGATAGGAGGTTGAGCCAAAGACAAGAGTGGAGAACCAGTGGAGATCACGAAGGTGCAGAATGGTGTCAGAAGGGAATGAGAAAGGGCTGCATTTGCCCTTATGGCCTGGAGGTTCAACATCCCTATATTAAATAGTTATTGCCTGCCTTTAGATTTTTAAGTTTATAGACAATATACATAACTTGATATAGGGACGCAGGTTCCTTTTCTTTCTTCTAACTTGATGCGAGCTTTCTCTGCCTGTCTCATTCAATGCACCATGCTCCTTCTGAAGGGAGATTTCAAAGAGATTATAGGTGGATTTACAACTTGGGGAAAAGGGAGGCTGAGTTCTATGGAATGGCAATTTGACATATGTTGGTTTGTTTTAACTTGGCGGAACAAAATAAGCAGTGGTGCATGCTAATGGTATTTTTCAATTCCCTCATCCCAGTTCTACACCTCAGCTAATATCTGGGAATCTGGAAGGATGAAAATGGCCTTTTTCTTTACAGAAAAAGTACTGTGTTTTCAAAATGAAAATCTAAGCCCAATATAATTTCTCTTCTTCTTTTAGTCACACTGCTGTTAACCTTTAAATGCAATCAATCTTTGATGATGCTAAGACTGCTCTGTAGGGATGGTAATTGATTTTCAAACTTGGTCTTGCGGCCTACAGAAAGACTCTGCTATTCTGAGTTTCACTACGAAGCCGCCTACTGTAATTAAGACTGGGGTGTTTCCCATTTCTTCTGTGGGCACCTCATCACAGTTTTGGAGGAACTTGTGCTGTCAAGGTTCATATTAAGCAGATCTGTCTGGAAAGATGGATAAGCGATTTGCAGGAGATGTTCAGTTCATAGGACCACAGGGTTAAAGTGGGGACTCAGCATGTCTGAGTAAGATTACAGATTGATCCTAATATTAAGGACCAATCCTTTCGTATAGTGAGGGGGTATAGTTTGCCTAATTCACACTTTGTGGAATGGCACACCAATGCTGAAATGCATCCACACTTCTGGGAGTTCTGTGATGCAGTTCTGCAACCAAAAAATCTCTACAAAAACGTGTTTCTTAGGAGAAAGTGTGCATGAATATGCAGGGCCAGGTTCAGCATTCTCTGCTGCATGAGGTTAAAGCTGAAAATAATGTTTGTGCAGTATGAAATCCCATGCAACAGCTGTGCTAGTGGAGGATTGCTATGCAACCAGTTGTTGCAGCAGGGAGGATGGGGGCTGTAGCAATCTGTTGCATAACTAGCCACAAGAACCATGCTCGCTCCCTGTGGCTTTCTCTTGTGTAAACTATTCGGCTAGCACAAGTCATTGCGCAAGTGCAACTTGTACGCAGCTAAGGAACTTTAACGTAGTTCTGCACTGAATTCCTCCCACTTACATTTTTGAAAACGATGCATTAAAATTCATTGTGTTAGGAGAAATGGCTTGCAAAAGTGCACTTTTGGAAGGAAAATGCAGAATACACACACAGAGAGAGAGAGAGCGAGAGAGACCATAAACACGCCCCCATGTATAAAACGATCCCTATTTTGGGGGACTCCAAATTAAGAAAATGGGGGAAGATTGCCCAGAATTGTTGAGCATTTTGGGGGGGATTGACGAAAATCTCTCACTCACCTGACCGACACTACCAATAGCACACGTCACCAAAGCCACCAATCGTCTGACCAATCACCGCCAGAAGCCGCCAATCGCCCGCCCAATTTTCCCAGCGGCAGCCAATTGACAGCAGCCCTTGCCTCACCCACAAATCACCTCTACAATCACCACTGACAATCTCCTGCTCGCTGCTGCAACCAATCGCCCGTCCCCCCTATGCATTATCTGTCTATACCCCCCATTTCTAACATATAATAATAATAATAATAATAATATCATATTATACGCGGGAAAATATGGTGTATATCTGGCATATATATGGCAAAATTGTGAACAAAAATGTGTATATTGAGCACTAGTAATGTGCAGTAGAATGCTGATGATTTTCCATGAGGACTTTAACAAATTGCAAATGGATGTGGAAATGTGGGCAACTGAGCTTAAGCCTGGAAAACTGAGAAATCAAAATGGATAGACTTGTCCATTTGTTTCGTACTGCATTGTCTCAGATACAAGCTTTTTCAGTGGAGTTACTCCACACATCCAGCTGCAGAGTGGTGTAGAGGATAGGAATGGTGTTCTCTGCTTCCAAGTGTTGGATGTCATCCGCCAACCCACACAGTAGCTATAAATTTGCATCTGGATGGAGTAAAAGTAGCCACTTGGTAGAATATGTGATCCTGCAGCCATTCATGATGCATATAGATGCTCCCATGTTAAATAAGAACAGAATCAGAAGCTCCTCCTTGTGGCATGTCTGGGTTGGGGACTGGGCTGATCAAGACTGAAGTGGTCTTGGGGTGAAGCTAGTGAGCCCCGATAAGCGGACTCACCTCGCCCCAGATAAGACCTGTGGCAACTCTTAGGTGCTTTCAGGTAAAGATAAAGGGACCCCTGACCATTAGGTCCAGTCGTGACTGACTCTGGGGTTGTGGCGCTCATCTCGCTTTACTGGCTGAGGGAGCTGGCGTACAGCTTCTGGGTCATGTGGCCAGCATGACTAAGCCGCTTCTGGCGAACCAGAGCAGCGCATGGAAACGCCATTTACCTTCCCGCCGGAGTGGTACCTATTTATCTACTTGCACTTTGACATGCTTTTGAACTGCTAGGTTGGCAGGAGCAGGGACCGAGCAACGGGAGCTCACCCCGTCATGGGGATTCGAACTGCCAACCTTCTGATTGGCAAGTCCTAGGCTCTGTGGTTTAACCCACAGCGCATCAGTTAAATGTATATTTTCACCCAGGACTTCAGCTGGTTTTTATTGTTTGAACTCACCCTTCGTGTTTTTCATCTCCTGATTGCATGAGGCGGTTCCGGGTTTTAAATTGTGACTGTGAGCTGCTTTGGTAGCAATACGATCGGAAAAGCAGTATATAAATTGGATGGATAAATAAATAATACAAGGTCTCCTCCAACTGTTCAAGTCTGGAAATCAAAGCTGCATACAAAGTGCTGAGCAATCTGAAAGTACCAAGATTTTTTATTATTATTATTAACCTGCCTACTGTATTTCCTTGCCACACAGCACAAATATATAAACACACTCTTTCCAAGATGGGCCCTTTTTCGAGCAGATGCTTACTGAGGTCTGACTTCTTGAGTTTCCTGATTAATTACCCTCCTCTTTTAGCTTGAGCAGAATAAGCACCGACTGTCACTTTTGATCTCTTACAAACAGTGGGGCTTCTTGAATATTTCTTTTTGCAAAAAAGAAGGGGAAAAAGGGATTCATTTCCTCACCCGTTGTCTCCCAGTGTGACATTCTACCCCAGCTGACAACTGGGTCTCGTGTTATTTTATTAAAATCAAGAGTGCTACAGAATGGCATACTTTTCTCGTCTTCTTTCAGGCTGCAAGCCCTTGAGGAAAGCACAATGTGGTTGAATAACTGATTCAGATGAAGAGGGTCTCTCTCTCTCTCTCTCTCTCTCTCTCTCTCTCTCTCCCTCTCTCTCGCTGTGTGTATCTCTGCTTCTCGTTCTTTATAGCAAGAACTGCACATTTCAGAAATGTACACTATTACTGCCGCCTCCCTAATCTAGGGCTGGATGTGGCTTTGATAGGCCTGTGTGTTCTGAGATGCTTCAGCATACCTGGATATCACAGGGGAAGGAAAGGACTATAAGGCCAGCGCTGGGTTCAAAGGTTCCTCTGCAAAGGTGGCCCCCTCCTTACCCTGGTGGGCCACAGGTCAACACTTCAAATTTTCCACAGTGCTGCAGAGTGACGCTATGTCAGGTTCTTCTGGGAATTATGGGAAATTTAATAAAGCAGGCAGCTCCCAGACTCAGCTGCTAGTCCGTGGAGGGCAGGGCAGGCCATTTTCAGCAGCATTGATCCCTGGTGGGGATCTTGGGCCAGGGAAAATAAAAAACATTAGGAAAACATGCTTTGCAAAACTGTATATGAGGCAAAACTGCACACAAAGCTGTTTAAATTTGGCGAAATTGACACGAGTGTGCTGATAAATCTTCACAAAGGCTTTTTCAAAAAGCAAACTGATGTGGAAAACTAGAAAAGTTGGGAAGGGTGTGGAACAGGCCTGGTGAGGGGTGTGGCCTGAGGGCCAGGTGGAAAGACTTTGAGGGCCACGTTCAGTTCCTGGGCCTGAATTTCCCCTCCCATGTTTTGCACTAACACGGTATGTGTGTGCTTTGATAAGCTCTGCAGCAAATCAATGCCTACACAATTTTGACTGCGTGTGTGTAGCATATGTTCTTGAAATGGCTGGGGAAACCCTGCCAGATTTTTTTTGGGGGGGGGTAGAAATAATAAATTATTATTATAAATTATTATTGAAATGTGTATGCGTTGCTAACATGCAAGGGAACTGAAGGCAAGCTGGTACACACCACCAATTCTGGAAATTTTCTGTGTTAGGCTGGAACTCAGGAGGAGTAAGGAATGAGATCGAATTTATGGAACGATATTCATTCTCTCTTGTGCATGAGCCCCATTGCTTGTTTAGCCAAAATGGCAGGACCCATGAGAGAGATATCTGATCGAGGAACCTCCCAAACTGCCCAATGAGGTGTGAGAGTTGGTCAGTAGCCAAAGAATAATTGCTGGTTGTTGCCAGGGAAGGAGTGCTTGAGAGGAATAGAAAACTGGAGGAAAGAAGGAATAGAACTGTTATGGAACTGCGTGGGCAATCTGCTCGTCCCTCTTCATAACGTTTGCAGACCCTCACGCATCTCGTCCATTTCTGCTACCATCCCTACCTGCAATGTCCTTGAAAAGGAGTCTCCAGGTAGCACCAATTAACCTTCTTCTTCATCTTGCCATCCCTCCCCTCCCCAGCTCCAGCGTCACGATAAAGAGGCGGAGGATTCCCCCAGCAAGTGGAGATCTGACGACGAAATGGCCGTGGAAGCAGCAAGCCTCGAGAAGTATTTTAAGTGAAAACATGAGGTAATTATCCGGCCGAGGGCTGGTGCAAACCTTTTGTTTATACAGCACCTTACATATCCTAGAATTCTAAGGTTACGGTCCCTAGAATTCTGCAGGCGGGTCACATGAGATGCTGTAATGAGGCAGCAGCTCACATGATTTTCAACCTCTTGCCTTGGCCTTTCCCCCAATCCCCCTCATATACAGTAAGGTATGGAAGATGGAAATAGATGTGTTATGCAGCCTGCCTGTTCCCCTTCAACTAGCCTGCTGCCCTCAGGGGTTGTGGAGGAGGCCTACTGATCAGCCGTGTTAAGTGCTAGCCTGGCTGGTTCTGTACATGAAACTGTCCTTTGCCTCAGGCAGCAAAATGTCTTGGGTCTGGCCCTGTGTGAGATACTGCACCTCTCCGTCCCCAGGCTTTCTGCCATGACAGAAGACACCAACCCCTGCGCTGTGATAACATCACACCCTGTGACTTCGAGTTTTTGTCATAGGGCTGTTGCTCTGGCATCACCGCCACCGTGCCAGCTTTCGTTTAATGGGTTTCCCATCTCTGAAATCTTCATTCTGATTCCCACTTTCAGAACAGACCCGCTGCAAAGCTCCGCGCTCTGCTCCGGAAAAGAATGACATTTTAAAAGGCAAGGCCATTCGTCAGTAAGGCCTCTGAAAACTGCATCGCTTTCATGTCCTTCCTTTGGACCCAAAGGGCAGACTATCCTATAGAAACGGATTGGCCCCCTGAGACCAGTCTGTGATGCAGCGAGATGGACAGAGACATGATGACAGCCAGGCTGTTCTTTCATTTCTCTGGCACTTTTCAAGACATTTCATATTTCTTCTTCAAGGAAGCCCCAAAAGAGGGGGTGATAAATGTTTCACCAGGGTGGTTTCGTTTTTGACAGTCCAATTTAGGAGGATCCTCTGGCTAAATTTCACAAGCCATTTACCTGTTTTGCTGCAGAGACCAGAACATGTCCTGAGCCGTTTGGTACTCTTCAGTTTGTTGAACCCTCTTCTTTAGACTCTTCTTTGAGCACTGTTGCTCCCTCTCTCATAATGTATGCACTATCCAGTGGAAGATGCCAGGGTTGTCCAAAGGTTATTGTCCCTTGAGGGCAGACTGCTGGGCCCCTCAAACTCCTGCTGCAACATGCATGCTTCCAGCATGATCTCAGTGCTCTGGTTCCGGCAGTTCCCATCCCTCGTGGCTATTAAATATAGCCACTGGGGTACCCTTTATCAAGAGAGACGAGAGTCAAGGGGAGTACAACCTTGCACCTTCTGCTCCGTCTCTCGGCGGTTTCAAAAGTCAACAGCCATGGTGTCCTTCTGGATCAGATCTGTGGGATGGGTACTGAAGACAGTCGTTCCTTTCCTGCCTCCAGAGTTGGTGCCAAAGAGTAGCACAGGGAGAGTGTTCTTTGGCCCCCCTAGCAATTTTGCTATTGGCTTCCTCAGGTCACATTATTATTATTATTATTATTTCTCAGGTTGCAGTTAATTCCGATCCCCCCTCCCCTCTCTCAGCAGACAGCCAAGGAAGTAGACAAGGAAGCTCTTACTGAGTCTTTATTCAATAATCACAGTGAGAGGTCTCTGTATGCTGCCTACTAGGTTAATGGCGTTGCTCCAACTGAGCTGCTTCCACTCCCTTCCTAGCAAAAGCACGTCCCCTTACGGTGGCTGCCAGAGGCTAATTGTCTTTGAGTCCTTTGCTCTTCCACTTTCATTGCACGCCGGGTTCTGGGAGAAGGGGGTGGAGTCAGTGGTAACGTGTCAGCTGGCTGCTCTGTCTCTGTCTCCCCCTTCTCCTCTCCCAACACCTCCCAACTCTTCTGTTCACCTGTCTCTGAGCTGTGACCTTCCTCAAACCACTGCTGTAATTCAATACTGCCTTCCTCTTACCTGGAAAGTTCAGGAGGGGAGGTCGGTCTCCACCATTCCTCTTCAGTCTCATTCCCCTCAGTCCAGTCCCTGACATCATCATCATTATCATTTATACCCTGCCTTTTTCCTCCAATGAGCTCAAGGTAGTGTACATTATTCTCCTCCTCATTTAATCCCCACCACAGCACTGCGAGGTAGGTTGGGCTGAGAGACAGTGAGCGTTTCAGTCCATCTCTTTCAATAAACACCACTAGCAACGGGCTATAGTACATCACTATAAAATTCAGAATCAGCGTTGGCACAAATTGCACATGCAGGGCTTTACAGAGAGGGGGAAAATGGGAGAATTAAGTGCTTCTTTATTATATTCAAATGACTCCCCCCCTCTCCCGTTGCTCATATTAATGGGAAAGAAAGCAATCTACAGTTCCTCAAGACCTTCTTGACCTGGAAGGCTTTGTAAGTGCTGGCGCTTGAATGTGTTAATGGGAGGAAAGAGAAATTGCAATTGAGAGAAGGTTTGGGATATATATATATATATATATATATATATATATATATATATATAAAATTACAATGTGATTTCTCATTTTGTGATCCCATTGTTCACAGCGAAAGCTTGTTAAATAAGTGGCACAATTGGCCGGCTAATCTGGCCCTGTTGAGCTGACCCTGTAAGGCCAGTAATTGTATGGGAAGATAACTTGCTCTGAGTCAGCGTCAGAACTGCATGACAGGAACGTTGCAAATCATCAATGAAAGATGGATACCTAGCAGATTAAGTTGGAGAGTGGGGGGAGCTATTGCTTTGGGAGCAACAAATAAGTCTTTTTCCTGCTTTCTGACATTACTCAGCTGGTTGGCTACTGTGAGAACAGGATGCTGGAATAGATGGGCCATAATAATAATAATAATAATAATAATAATAATTTCTTATTTATACCCCGCCCATCTGGCTGGGCTACCCCAGCCACTCTGGGTGATGTGCAGCGTAAATTAATAATGCAGAGCTCTTAACTGAATAAAAGCTTTACTGAGTTAAAATAAACTTCTTCATAAACAACATGGTTCCAAACAGTTTGACTGAGATTGCATACTGACTCTGTTCACAACTGAAACAGACAGACTCTCACATCTTACAGAGAGCACAAAGAGAAACTGGCTGCTAAGACACATGTCAGAGTGACTCAACAGTAAGCAGTTAGGCCTGAATAACTTTAGTAGGCCCAAATGACTGTCTTTGTCACATGACACTGGGTGGCTTCCAACAAAACTGGCATGATCCAGCAGCCAATGCCTGACACTCAACCTGACACTCATCTTTTAAAGAAAAATGTTGCATCAAGCTTGGAAGCTTTGCTGTTGTACAGTACTTCACACAGGGCTAGGTGAGCTTGTCTATGCTTGCAGGAGACAAACGATTAAACAATTGTTAAGATATTAAAAGGGTATACCAAGGGAGTTTAAGTTTGGGTCCCTAGTGATGTCACAGATACTATCCAATAGGTAGCTGCGACACTGGCAGTGTATGCAACATTCAAACATGCTTGGGGAGGGGGAGGAGGACTGAGTTTTCATTTCCTCACTGCTTGGTAATGGATCTTCAAATTTCCTGGCAGCAGAAATGTTACCTTGAGAAAAAAGAACTCTGTTTCAGCTGCCCATCTTTTGCTCACACTGCTACCCAGATCCCATTAGCTGCTGCTTTAGCAACTGGGGTTTAGGGGATCAGGCTGTAAGATACGTAGGACTTAAGGCATTTAAAACTTGGTTGCAAGCCAGCTGCTGCCACCTAGTTCCCATCCGGCCAAAATGTGCAGCTATTATATTTATGATGCATTAAGCCATAAGGCGGCATGTAATTGCCAGCGCTGGCACTTCTGTTGTGCAAACTGATGTGTAAGGTAAGCTCGCATGAGAGGGTCATTTAGAAGGCAGCAGTTAACAGGCCACGTTTACAGCTGCAGACCGCTTTTCAGATGTGTGCAGATTCCTGGCATTGTGGAAATCGGGCGTCTCATTAGCAAGATAAACGTTTTGATGTTCTCATGTTCCTGCAGTTTTTTAATAAAAAAAAAAACACACTGAAATTTCTCTCTGATCTGTCAGGGCACTTTATAGAGCCAAAAGGTTCATTCCACTCGAGCAGCAGACACCCGCTGACACAATGGAACTTCCTGTTCCCTGCAACCGTCCAATCTGCTCCAGACAGTTGGGGGAATCATCCAAAGTATATTTGCAGGGGCAGGCATGTGGGGAGAGGAGATGCACATGCACTGAACTCCAATTGTGCCACTTTAGACTCAAGCCTTTGAACGGATTGGTTCAATGTAGCCCATGTGAATAGTGTCAGGAGTTCAGCCTACACTCGAGTAGGACCCTGGCAGAGAAACGTGCCCGACTGGCATGTTCTCTCCGTCCTGGTCTTTCATTTGGGAGCTTCATAAACTTTCTTCAGCCCAAACATCACAGCGACCGATACCAACCGACACCGGCACACTTAGGGATCCACAGAGTTTGTGCATCTTGCATGACAGACCTCAGCAACTCAGCATTTTGGCTAATCTAGTTTATTTACATATAAACACACACGGAGCACTGCAACATGGCTCCCTCTCTCTCTAGCATCAGATAGTAAAGAGAAAAAGAACAAAGGACAATAGTCCCACTTCACGTAACACAGTGACACAAACATCCTGTCTCCGTCACTTCCCACTCTGTGGAGTCAAAACATATACCGTCATGTGAAAGACAACAATCCCATGACTGCAGTCATAGATCAGGAATTCTAACAAATAGGTGGTGTTCCCCTAACTTCTTAAATTCAGCTTCCAGAGCTTTTCCAGGTGTGTCTACCTTGGGAAAGATGCTTGACTGTTACCTTTCACACATGCACGTGCTCCTGGGATGGTTGGCACCATATGTCCCTGATTTGAAGGATAACGCCATAGAGGACCTTGGGAGCATCGTCTTCGTGTGCCAGAGCCGCAAAGGGCCTCTCTCTTGCTAGATGCAATCGATCTGCGAGATCCGGCTGCGACTGCACTCAGGCACTGTTTGCATATAATCCTTGCACAAATACGCATTTTGGTAATCAGCTGTGGATTTTGACACACTCCAAGCCTTAAGTGCTATTCATTATATCACCCACTCAGCCAGCCGTAAGAACCATTAATTATGAAGCAGCAACAGCGGCAGCTGACTCCTGCGTGGATCTCCTCCGTTGCGAGAGATGAGAAAGCAAATCTGCTCGCTCCAGAAGAAATATGTTTTCTGAAGGTCACCTTAATAAACAAAACAGAACAAGAACCACATCTGTCAGTAGCACAGAACAGAGACAAAGCGTTTTCTTCCCGTAAGCAGTTTTAATGATGGACTTTTAAAAAATATTCTTTTTAAAAAAAACAGTATGGAAAGCGGAGAGTGGAAAACAGCTCTGCATTACATTTCAGGACTAGGTTTCTTCTTTCAAATGAGTTTTCTCACAGTAGTAAGAAACAAGTAAATAAGGAGTAATATTTTCCCGCCCCCTCCTTTTCAAGTGAATTCCAGGGAAATATATTGGCAGAAGGTTTGTAGACAAACAGAACCTGGCGGTGATGAGTGCTATTTGAAATCTAAAAAACTCTACAAGGAACATGCTGAAAGTGAGGGGGTGGGTGGAAAGGAAGGTTGGGATGAGTGGGTGGGAAAATCCATATCTCAAGCAGAAAATATAAGCATGTAAGAGAGAAATGCAATTACTTTATCCAGATAATAATAATAATAAATTCTGTTATGTGTATGGGAACTCTGTTTCCCATAGGACTGGGAAGCATTAATATCTGTCACGCTTAGTGCTCTGCCGTGGTGTCTCTGAGTAAAATCCCACCTTCCCACTTTCCCCTCCCAAATCCAGCTCAACGAACATGCAATAACATTAGCTACACAGGAGCACACAATTGTTCAATGGAGAGCTTCCAAACATGACAATCAAACTGTACCTTTCTTCTTATATCTCTGGCATTGCATCTATCTATCTATCTATCTAATGTTTGATCTTCTTAGAGTCCCATGGACTGCAAAAAGATCAAACCTATCCATTCTGAAGGGAATCAGTCCTGAGTGCTCCCTGGAAGGACAGATCATGAAGCTGAGGCTCCAATACTTTAGCCACCTCATGAGAAGAGAAGACTCCCTGGAAAAGACCCTGATGTTGGGAAAGATGGAGGGCACAAGGAGAAGGGGACGACAGAGGACGAGATGGTTGGACAGTGTTCTCGAAGCTACCAACATGACTTTGACCAAACTGCGGGAGGCAGTACAAGACAGGAGTGCCTGGCGTCCTCTGGTCCATGAGGTCACAAAGAGTCGGACACAACTAAACGACTAAACAACAACAAATAGATATAGATATACCAACTGGCCCAAATGTAAGCTGCACCCGCAAATAAGCCACACCTTTAAAATTCGGGGGGGGGGGGACAATACCCGAATATAAGCTGCTCCCTTAAAATTGGGCTACAGGCTGAAAATCACTGTGGTCGGTAGAAGTGTAACTCCCAGCCAATTTAAGCCTTTGATCTTGTAAGCCCGCCAAAGTTACCGTACAATCGCTAAAATCGCAAATCGCTATTCAATTGCTGCAATTCTGCAGGCACTCAAGCTCGCAGATCGGCAAGAAAACATTTTTTTGTTCCATTTTACCATGTGTCTGTTTCAGCAGCGATATCATAAAAGCCAGTTTTTGTAAGGTTGTGAATTTGAGCCGCATCTTAACTTTTCACGGTTGGAATTTGGGGGGGGGGGGAGTGCAGCTTATATTCAGGCCAGTATGGTATAAGGTAAAGAACGCATGCTCCAGGAAGCCCAACACATCAAATCCGATCCTTCCACAACCACATTGCAGACAGACACATTGGCATAAAAGGTAAAAAAAGAAAAAGAAAGGTAAAGGACCCCTGGACGGTTAAGTCCAGTCAAAGGCGACTATGGGGTGTGGTGCTCATCTCGCTTTTCAGGCCAAGGGAGCTGGCATTTGTCCACAGACAGCTTTCCGGGTCATGTAGCCAACATGACTAAACCGCTTCTGGCACAATGGAACACCGTGACGAGTGCCAGAGGGCACGGAAATGCCATTTACCTTCCCACTGCAGTGGTACCTATTTATCTACTTGCGCTTGTGTGCTTTTGAACTGCTACGTTGGCAGAAGCTGTGACAGAGCAACGGGAGCTCACCCCGTCTTGCAGATTCAAACCACCAACCTTCCAATTGGCAAGCCCAAGAGACTCAGTGGTTTAGACCACAGCACCACACGCTCCCTATTATATAGATATATATAGATAACAATCAAGGAGGGTGAAAAGCAAGGCTGGGGTATGGCTGGAGAGTGTGTTGGAGTCCTGAGGGCCACTTTGAGAGGCTTGGAGGGCCGCATTTAGCCTACAGGCCTGACATTCCACACCCCTTTAGCATACATTCAGGTCCCACAATGCTTTCTATTGGAACCATTTGTTAGGCAAACGTTCGCATCACAAATCTATGATTTCCACTGTTTCCTATGGAAATATTTCTGGTGCTGGATTGGCCAGATCTCTCTCCATTGAAAGAAGAAACCAATCAGCAAAAGAGAGACAAAGGGGGGCGGGGACAGATTTGACTGCTCTATCCTGCTCTCTGTTTCATCCAATCTTGCCACTCTCTCTATGGTTTCTTCCTGAAAATGGCTGCAGCCGATCAGCAAAACATAAACAAACAAGGAAGTAAGGAAGCCAACTGTTGGGATATCTGAATCTGCAAAGCTTCTAGCAAGGTCTGGGCATAATTCTTTACATGCAGATAAGTGAATTTTCAGATAGCGAGTGGGCAGGCAGTGGGACCCGCTTGTATTTTCGAAAGAGCTGATGGGGTTGCAGTAACCGAGTTACCTGTTTTCTGCAAGGATGAAACCACAAGTGGTAATATCATAACTATTGCATGATGGAAAGCCAAGCTGCCTAACAATCCCAAAAACAAACCCTTGTGTTGCAATGAGAACCAGTCACAGAAATATAGGCACAACACGTGGGCTAATAACTATTAAACCATATATAATAGAATAATGATATCATTCAAAAGGTAGAAATAAATCTATTAGAGTTCATATATACAATGTAACAGACCAGTGGCACAGAACGTCAAGCCACGGGTTCAAGATAGGCATCAAAGGTCAGTCTCACAATGGTTATTCAAAGGTTTCAACAGAAGACGTCTCAAAAGTCTAAAAAGTAAAGTTTTTCAAAAGTTTCAATGGAATCAAAAGTTTCAACAATCCCAGGCTGCTGCCACTGCCAGCACTGGCCACTCTGTTGTGTTATTCTGGGAAAAAAAGGGAACCTGTGGCTCTCCAAATGTTGTTGAACATCCATCAGTCCCAGCCAGCATGGCCAATGCTCAGTCCAACAATATCTGGAGGGTCACAGGTTCCTTGAAGACTGCCTGAGCATCAAGAACCAACACCAAAACAGTTCGGGCATAATCTATGTGTAGCAGATACTGCTAGTCTGACTTCCTGATATGCATGATGTTATCTCTCACACCTGGCCACCCACCCTTCAAAGGGGCACTTGTGCACAATGGGACCCTTGAGTGCATGGGACACCTACACACATTCAGCTACTCACATGTAGGTTGGGGTGCCAGTGGACTACAACTTTGGGGGCGGGCAAGAGGCATGTCTGCACTCAGTATTAACCTGCTATGCATAGATGTCTGAATGCAGCTATCATTTCTACGCCCTGCCGATTTCTTTTTCTCCTTCACAATCATGATTCTCTCTTGGATAAATGCTAATGAGAGCTAGCTGATTGCTTAATCTCATAGCTTTCGCCTTGCTCACGTAAGGCACAAAACGTTGCTGCATTTGACAAAACATCTTATTTTTATGTCTAATCAGGCAACAAAGCACCTTTGGCGAAGTCTGGCTGAGGCAGAAGACAATGGAGGAAACCAGAGGCCCTCCCTGCAAACCACCAATCTTTCCTGGACCTAAAGCTCCAGAGATGTCAATATATTCTGCAGAGATGCTGGATTCTTCCACAAGATGCTTTATTAACCCCACCTAAGGGTTGTTTCGGCAAAGATGCACAGAATGCATTGAAGTTGTTGCTTTAATTTTCTATGAAAATAAAAAATAAAAATAATCTGTTCCTTGGCTGAAAACAAATAAAGCATTAATAAAATATATAGTTCCTCTGGGTTTTGTTTTTTTTAAAGATACCTTTTTATTAGGTATTGTGAAGTTGTGGCCCTCCAGATACTCTTAAGTCTCCAGCTCTGATCACCTATAAGCATTGGACATACTGGCTTGGATTGATAGGAGTTGAAATAGGAAGTCCAAAAGCAAGCCATGCCTGCCCTAGCAGGTGGCTCTGCTGAGTTCTGATCCAGCAGCAAAGGGAGCCCTCCCATTTGTGGAAGGGGCCCTCTGGACATTTGGAGACAATGCAGTTTTAGACTTATAGTGGTACCTCGGGTTAAGTACTTAATTCGTTCCGGAGGTCCGTTCTTAACCTGAAACTGTTCTTAACCTGAAGCACCACTTTAGCTAATGGGGCCTCCTGCTGCTGCCACGCCACCGGAGCACAATTTCTGTTCTCATCCTGAAGCAAAGTTCTTAACCCAATGTACTATTTCTGGGTTAGCGGAGTCTGTAACCTGAAGCGTATGTAACCTGAAGCGTATGTAACCTGAAGTGTATGCAACCCGAGGTACCACTGTATTTATTTCTCTACAAAATGAAAAATAAGATTTGATATCAAAGATGAGACAGAGATCGCACAACAATGGGTGTATTCGAACAGCTTTTTCCAACTGTAAATTTCCTCACCCTTCCCCCTACTTCCCCCCCCCTTCCCAGTGAAGTAAACAAATAAAAAAAGAACATTCTGAGGGTGTCTGCAAATGTGAAGAAGAAGAAGAAACAACAGAAAAGGCAGAGGGCAGCAGAGGCAGAGCAGGGACGCTTTGGGAGACTGAAAGCCCCAAGAGCCCACAGCAAAACAAACACATGAGAGTGTGGATCTTTGTTTCTGAATATTTATATTAAGTGCAGAATATCTATTGAAAGAAATCCACAGCCGTGCCGTCGGGATTGTTGAAAGCTGATGACTTCTACTTCAAATAGACTCTGGGAGCTGGGAGCCTCCCCTGCATTCGATAACTGCACGGCGAAATATGGAAAACTCTCGAGCATAAGTTCTTGAACTTTTGTCACAGTGAAACTCGCGTCTTAAGAGCAAATAACTGGCTGCGTCTCTCTCGCTGTCTCCAAACTAGCGAGCAAGGCAGGAGGATGGCTTTGTGAGAGGCTTTCCCTCTCCCACTCAAAAGCTGGCAGGCAGATCATAGGGAAAGAAAAGGAGACGGGTGACAGAAAACAGAAACCCAGGTAAATTAGGACATCATAGAATCATGAAATTGTCGGATCTTGTAGTCCAACCCCTCTGTAATGCAGGAATATGCATCTGTCTCATACGGGGATTGATCCTGCAACCTTGGTGTTATCAGCCCCATGCTCCATCTATGAATGTGGTTGATAAAGAATAGACCAGACGTCACCCAACTTTTGTTGTCTCAATTATTTCACAGCAGTCACAGGGCCACAAGTTGCTCCGGCCTGGACAACCAAGGCCATAATCACAGTGGCCATACTATCCTCATCCAGGGATGATGGCAGTTCTTTTAGCAGACATAGTCTGTAGAAGGAGGTCCTAGCCATGAAGACCACTAGGGCCTCTAGTGACAAAGATGGATCCGGGAGGACCCCTCTTGGGTTGCCACGCTAACAATAATGGAAATGCTAACACAGAGCTAGGGAAATAAAAGCAAGCATCTCAAAGAGGTGGGGAGGAGATTGTGAAACGGCATTCCCTTTGGGAACAATTAGCGTGCTGTTTGCAGCTCCACAAAGCAAAGCTGGCCAGAACAAAACTGAGAAGGCGCCTCCTTTGAAGTCGCACGCAAGGTCCAGAGATGAGCGAAGAACAGAAGCCGTAGCTTCCGAGTGCCCAGCCGTGATCAGCTCTTCCTCAAAGCAAGAGCTCTTGTGAACTCGGTTGTCACTTCTCCGCTTTGAACATTAATTTGGGAACAAAAGCTCCGCGTTAGCCGATTGCGCTCGTTGGAAAGAGGAGGCTCACGCTGGGGGGACGTGCAGCAGACACCACTTGGCAGATTTGCAGAATCTTGTACAAAGACAAAGCCTCCAACATGGCAGTGCTCCAGATCCCCCATCCATCAAGCCGGGCATGCCTTTGAGCTGCTTGGGGTAGTTAACGGGCTTCCTGCGGAGAAGCAGAAGGAGGCGCAGGGGAGGGAAAGACCACGTCTCTTAATCAAGGGCAATGCAGAGTCATTTCAAGTGAATTCAAAAATCACCCCCTCTTTGCAATTTCTCCGCTCTCCATTGAGAGCACCCTGCTGCTATAAATACAGGGCTGTTGCTGCACACACTGAAGTTTTCTTCTGCGTTTCCAGATCTGGGCTGCCTGGACAAGAAATGCAAGTAGTGAGCTGGAGCAGCAGCATTTTTGAAGTCAACCAGTGAAGCAGCAGAGGAATTTAGAGGTGAACTGCAGGGTTCTTTTCATTGCCACAAAGGGCTCAGTAAGGAGGGAGGGATCACTCTGCTTGCAGCCCATGTCGTCCTAGCCTGGTGTTTGTCCATTCTACTTCCACATCTTAGAACCATATTTTAATTTATGTGTACAATGGTGACTGGTTGGAGGATCATAGAATTGTAGAGTTTGAAGGTACCCCATTGGCCATCTTGTCCAACCCCTTCCAATGCAGGACTCTCAAACAAGATCATGCATGGCAGATGGCCATCCAACCTCTGCTTAAAAACCTCCAAGGAAAGAGTATCCACCACATCTAGTGGGAATCTGTACCACTCTCTAACAACTCTTACTGTCAGAAAGTACTTCCTGATGTTTAGCTGGAATCTCCTTGAAACTTGAAGCCATTGCCTCAAGTCCTGCCCTCCAAAGCATGAGAAAACAAGCATGTTCCCTCCTCCAAGTGACAGCCCTTAAGATATTTGAATGTGGCTATCATATCTCCTCTCAGTCTCCTCTTTCCAGGCTAAACATACTTAGCCAGTGTGGTGTAGTGGTTAAGAGCGGTAGTCTCGTAATCTGGGGAACCGGGTTCGTGTCTCCGCTCCTCCACATGCAGCTGCTGGGTGACCTTGGGCCAGTCACACTTCTCTGAAGTCTCTCAGCCCCACTCACCTCACAGAGTGTTTGTTGTGGGGGAGGAAGGGAAAGGAGATTGTGAGCCGCTTTGAGACTCCTTCGGGTAGTGATAAAGTGGGATATCAAATCCAAACTCCCCCCTGGAACTCACTCCCACAGGAGGTAGTGATGGCCACCAACTCGCTTGGCTTTAAAAGAGGACTGGACAGATTCATGAAGGATAAGACTGGCAATGGATACTAGTCACAATAGCTACTGTATGTTCTACCCCCACTGCACAGTAGTTGGACTGTGTCCTGCTTGTGGGCTTCCCGCAGGCTTCTGGCTGGCCACTGCAAGGAAAAGATGCTGGACTAAATGGACCATTGGCCTAATCCAGTGAGCTCTTCTTATGTTCTTATGCATTTCCAAACATATTAGGAAATTTAAATGCACGTTGATACATTATTTTTTTGAGGTGAAAACTGTGGGATGACCAGCCTCATATAACCAGCATGCTGAAGTCCAATCGATGCACGAAAGGGTTAAGACCATAGAGTAAGCTGTCCTGCTTAGCTATTCACCTTGGGAGGGACTAGGTAATACAAGCCTTTGCCCGCCCCCATCTACCCGAGAAGCTCAGCATGTGAGGAGGTCTGAGCTTGCTGCAGCTCAGACTGCATGGCTGTAACAAGCCTCTCTTGAGTTCCCATGACAATAGTTTAAGAACTTACACCACTCTAAGCAAGCCAGGTTTTATTGCCTGTTCAACCTCTGAAGCACATGAATCTGACCTTTGGAGAGTTTGTAAGTAAACCATTTTTTAAACTTACCAAATTTTGGTCTTTTTCCAGGGGAAGAGGGAAACTTTGGAAGCAACTCACAAGGGCATATTTTAAAAGTCTAACAGACTATATTTCCACGTGGTGCTTTGCTGCATATTTTGTTATTTTAAATCTCTGCTAGGGTTCACTCACCAAAGAGTACTTGCTCTAAACCTTGATCTTGGCATCCAGATAATTCTCCTTTTATAGTTATTTTTTCCTTGCAACAAACAAGAGCTGCACTGCAATATTCAAAGAAGTTATGAAATCTGACTTCCGGGACGTCGCGGCCACGGGAAGGAGCGCGAGGCTGCCCTCAGGGGGGGTCTCGAACAACACGGAGGTCTAGAGGGGTCACGAAGGCTCCGTGAACCCCGAAACCTCAGGAGGATTATTCTGGGGGACAGAGTACCCAGCGACGCTGCTTGGGCTCGCCTGTGTTGTCGGCGTTTTACAGGATTGGAGCTGCAGCATGAAGGGGAAGCAACAGACTCCGTGTTGTGAAGCCTCAGGCTCCGCGTGAAAAGCGGTGAACCTCTGACAACAGCCAAAAAAGCTGGGAAATAGCCAAAGCAAACAAGCTGATAACAGACAGAAAGCTTAATTAAAGAACCCAGCGGAAAAAGAATTGCGTGGGGTGAAGGAGAAGGAGTCCACTACTGGCGGTAAGAGTAAAATGGAGTATAGCGGAAGACTGCGAGAGAGAGAAAGCAAGAAAGTTGCCACTAAGTGGGTGTAGAGGAGAGACCTCAGATACAAAGTTTAAAGTACAAGGAGTCTGAGGCAAAGTAACATTGAAAATATTTTAATGGACTAGAGACTAGAGAGAAGTGAAAGGAATTTGTCTGTTCTATCTGGTCGGAGAATGTTGTGCCAGCGAATGGCTTGAGATATATCGGCGGGTTTTTTACACCCAAGTCTATGCCTGGCGTATTTGAGCGGGGACTGATTTAATCAGTACTTAAACAACGATTTCTATTCTTCTCATCTTTTACGTTTGATCAAAGGGGAGAGACTGGTATATACTTAGGCCAGTCAAACGATTGAAAATCAGACTGATAAAAG